TCATTATTCTCACGGCATTTAGGGCTTAAAACAATTAATTGTGATTAATTAACATTAATCACTTAGTTTATGTTTAATTATTCAATTAAACACAATACTTAATTACCAAAACTATTCCGAACGTAAACGGTACGTCGAAATTAAATTTCGGTAATCCCGACTGAAAATAATTAATTCCGTCAATAATAAACGATAACGTTATTATATCAGAATTAAAACAGAATTTATACCGATAAAATATCGGGATATTACAATCCTCCCTCCTTACAAAATTTCCGTCCTCGGAAATTCAAAACATAGCTGATATACATGAACTGTGTACATAGAATAAGGAAATATGTACACTAAAACTGAAAATCTGGGAAACGAGCGCGAATGTCGGACTCCTCCTCCCAAGTAGCTCCGTGGCGATACCACTGAATTCGCACGAGGGGGATATCTCGCTTCCAGAGCCGACGAACCTGACGGTCTAGTACAGCTACCGGTCGCTCCTCGTACGATAGATCTGGCTGAACCTGAATATCCGTATGAGGGATGACATGATCGGGGTCACACACGTACTTACGCAACATCGATGCGTGAAATACATTATGAATGCCTGATAATTAGGGAGGTAGGGCTAGACGATACGCGACCTCGCCTACTCGCTCGAGGACCTCGAACGGACCGATGAAACGAGGGTGCAGCTTCCCTCTCTTTTCGAATCGCACAACTCCGCGAATCAGACGAACTCTGAGAAAGGCTGGCTCGCCAACCTCGAACTGAATATCTCGTCGATGATGATCGGCGGAAGATTTCTGTCGACTCTGAGATGTCCTGAGTCTCTGCCGGATCAACTCAACCTGCTCCGCTGTCTCCTAGATCATCTTAGGACCGAGTACTCGTCGCTCTCCAACGTCGTCCCAACAGAGAGGGGAACGACACTTGCGACCATAAAGTGCCTCGTAAGGAGCCATCTGAATAGAGGAATGATAGCTGTTGTTATACGCGAACTCTGCGTACGGCAACAGTGACTCCCACTTAGCACCCCTGTCAACAACCAAAGCACGGAGCATATCCTCAAGTGTCTGAATCGTCCGCTCTGACTGACCATCTGTCTACGGATGGTAGGCTGAACTGAACTCAAGCTTGTGCCCATCGCCTCATGTAAGCTGTGCCAAAATCGACTCACTTGCGACCATAAAGTGAGTCATAAGGAGCCATCTGAATAGAGGAATGATAGCTGTTGTTATACGCGAACTCTGCGTACGGCAACAGTGACTCCCACTTAGCACCCCTGTCAACAACCAAAGCACGGAGCATATCCTCAAGTGTCTGAATCATCCGCTCTGACTGACCATCCGTCTCCGGATGGTAGGCTGAACTGAACTCAAGCTTCGTGCCCATCGCCTCATGTAAGCTGTGCCAGAATCGACTGATGAATCTGGGATCTCTGTCTGATACAATCGTGACAGGCACTCCGTTGAGTCGAATGATCCCACGGGTATATATCTCAGCCAACTTGTCCAGAGACATCTTCATCGAAACGGGTAAGAAATGTGCAACCTTAGTCAGTCTGTGGACCACGACCCAGATAGCGTCGTGATGTTCAGACGACCTCGGTAATCCCGTAACGAAATCCATAGTGACTTCCTCCCACTTCCACCTCGAAATCGGCAGTGGCTGCAGGAGGCCGATCGGACTCTGATGCTCAGCTTTGACTTGCTGACAGGTAAGACACCTCCTGACGAACTCGGCGACGTCCTTTTTCATGCCTCGCCACCAGAATGACCCTCTCAGGTCGTGATACATCTTCGTGCTCCCGGGATGGGCTAGATAGGGTGCGGTATGTGCCTCTGATAGAATCTCCTTCCGCAACGCCTCGACCTTCGGGACCACGATCCTGCCTCTGAACTCTAAGGCACCATCGGCACCTAACTGAAAATCCTGGATGCCTCCGGCGTGAACCTTGGCCTCCATAACACGAACAAACTCGTTAGAAGCCTGCTCTCGCCGGATCCTCTCTCTCAGTGTCAGCTGAAGCTGCATAGCACTGACACTGGCACTGGTACTCCCCGAGACAGCTATGGTAAGTGCATCGATCGCCTGAAGCTGCATCCGGGCAAACTCATGAATCAACGGACACTGCTGCGTAATGACGTACGTCAAGTCACCCTTCACGTTTCGGCTTAGGGCATCTGCGACGACGTTCGCCTTCCCCAGATGGTACTGAATAGAACAATCATAATCCTTGACCAATTCGAGCCAACGGCGCTGCCTCATATTAAGCTCCTTCTGCGTGAAGATGTACTGTAGGCTCTTATGGTCTGTGAATATCTCGCAGCGTCCGCCATAAAGATAATGTCGCCAAATCTTCAGGGCATGAACGACTGCGGCTAACTCCAAGTCGTGCGTAGGGTAGTTCTGCTCATGAGGCTTAAGCTGACGTGAAGCATGCGCAACGACTTGTCCGTCCTGCATAAGGACACATCCCAAGCCCTGTCTCGAAGCATCGCTAAAGATAGTGAAACTCCGAGAAGGATCGTGAATAGTCAACACCGGTGCTGAAGTTAGTCTCCTTTTGAGCTCCTGAAAGCTCGCCTCACATCTGTCAGTCCATTCGAACTTCACAGACTTCCTCGTCAGCTGCAAAAGAGGGAGGGCGATCTTAGAGAAGCCCTCGATGAACCTGCGATAATAACCAGCTAAACCGAGAAAACTGCAAACTTCGGACGGACTCCTCGGTGTCGACCAGTTCTGAACGGCTGAAACCTTCGAAGGATCAACCTCGATGCCTGCCTGGGTAATCACATGACCCAGAAAAGATACTTGCTGAAGCCAGAACTCGCATTTGGAGAATTTGGCGTACAACTTTTCTCGTCTGAGGGTTTCGAGAACTACCCTCAGATGCTCCTCGTTCTCCTTCTGGCTCTTCGAGTAGATAAGGATATCGTCAATAAAGACAATAACGAACTGATCGAGGTAGGGATGAAAGATACGGTTCCTGAGATCCATGAAAACAGCTGGCGCATTGCTGAGACCGAAAGGCATGACTACGAACTCGTAATGGCCGTAACGAGTCCTGAAAGCGGTCTTAGCGATGTCTGACTCCTTAATCCTCAGCTGGTGGTAGCCTGATCGTAAGTCAATCTTTGAAAATACACAGGCTCCCCTCAACTGATCAAATAAGTCGTCGATCCTGGGAAGCGGATACTTATTCTTGATCGTCAACCGGTTAAGATCCCGGTAGTCGATACACATGCGCATAGATCCGTCCTTCTTCTTAACAAAGAGAACGAGTGCTCCCCAAGGTGACACGCTCGGTCGGATGAAACCGAGTCGTAACAGCTCCTGAATCTGAGTCTTAAGCTCCTGTAACTCTTTAGGCGCCATCCGATATGGGGCTTTGGATACTGGACCGGCCCCTGGGATGAGATCGATAGAAAACTCCACCTGACGGTTGGGCGGTCCTCCTGGAAGCTCGTCTGGGAACACGTCCACAAACTCGCGAATGATTGGTACATCATGAGGTGTCCGCGCTTTCTGAGAATCCTCAACAAGGCTTACCAGGTAACCCTGGCAGTTGCCTCGTCGCAATAACTTAGTGGCTTTCGCTATTGAAACAACATGAGGCAGTGAACGGTTCCTGGAGCCGAAGAAAGTAATCGACTCGTCTCCCGGAAGATAGAGAGTGATCTCCCGGTCATGACACCTGATGTCAGCATGATAGAAGGATAGCCAATCCATTCCGAGAATAAGATCGAAATCTTTCATCTCGATAACAAACGCGTCGGCAGTCAATACTCGGCCACCGATGGAAAGGCTAAGATCTGAGGCTTTAGCTGAGGTCACTATCTTTCGTCCCGAGGCTAAACTCACCTCGAGAGGATCGACAGCGGTAACGGCGTGAACTCCGATGGCATCGAGACATCGGCGTGAAATGAAAGTATGCGTTGCTCCAGTATCGAATAACGCGAATATAGGAATATCATTGAGGACAACCATCCCTGACATAGTACCTGGCTGCTGAGCTGCCTCGGCCTGATCAACCGCGTAAACCTGGCCTGCTGCCTGCCCCTCTGCTGCTGCTGCTGAGGCGGCCTCTGTGCCTGCTGTCGTGGCTGCTGTTGCTGTGGTGGCTGTTGAGGCTGCTGCTGGAGTTTCTTCGGACAACGACTCGCATAATGTCCCGGCTCCTGGCAATAGTAGCAGATATCCTGTCCTGCGCGACACTCTCCCCTGTGAAGTCGACCACAAGTCGGGCACGGTGGAATTGGCTGCTGTCTCTGTCGAGTCCTCCGGTCCGTCTGTGCACCCTTTCCCTTCCTCTTCTTCGCCTTGGCTGGCTGAGGGGCTGGTAGAGCTGGTGGAGTTGCAAATGGCTGAGCTGGGGCAGATGGCTGGGCACGATCCGAACTGCCTCCCTCCTGATACTAGCGTCCACCTCCTGGGCGATAGAAACGGCACGAGCGTAGGTCTGAGTCCCGTGTCCTACGATGTTGTGACGGACTGCTGGGTAAAGTTCGTCAATGAACCGCTGCGCTCTCTGGGCCTCCGTGCGAACAAGATCCAGTGCAAAACCTGCAAGTCTAGTGAACTCTCGCTCGTACTCATCGACAGTACGAGTACCCTGCTGAAGCGCTAAGAACTGGCGCTCCATCTCTGCTCGATAGTAGGAAGGGTAATACTTGTCGCGGACTAACTCCTTAAACATGTCCCATGTACAACCCGCGTTTTCACCGGGACGCATGCTCCAGTAGGCGTTCCACCAGAGCCTTGCATCACCAGTGAGCTGAAGCTGAGCGCAAACTACGCGATACCTATCAGGGCATTCCATAACCTCAAAGATGAACTCCAACCCCTGAATCCATTCATCAACGATGCGGGGGTCTCCCTATCCTGAGAACTTCTCGGCGTGATAGTCGCGGAACTGAGCGACTACCGTAGCCTGAGTAGGAACCTGATGATCGGGCTCCCTACGTGGCGGCATCTGAACATTGAGAAAATTGGACATTACTGAATACATGATAACATTATTGACTGATTACTTAAGGCACACAGATCTCTTGACGAGTTGCCAAAAATGGCCAATAAATACTGACGTGAAACCTGAAGAACTCTAGAGTCATCTCGAAAGATACTAAGGTCTAGAGTCATATAGGAAGATCCTGATATCTAAAGTCATATCTGAATGCCTAAATTCTAGAGTCATGTCCGAACTCTAAAGTCTGAACCTGATTCGAGCATCTTAACTAAAGTCCTGATCCTTAATTCTGAGCATAGACAAAGTAATATGTTTATAACTGAAAAACTGAATCAGCACTTACCTGTCGTCGGCGGGGCGTGAGCATGACGGTTCAGGTTTTTCTGAAAAATTTACTGACTGAAAACTTATCAGAGACGCAGAAACGTGCTCTGATACCAATTGTAACACCCCTCCCTATCGTAAAATCAGAGTGCGCTAAAATTCGCAAAGTTATTTAAAATAAAGCCTTTTTACTTTGCGAAAACTGATTCGGGGTGCTACCTTTAAAAATCATTACTTAACTTAGAAAAACCGTTGTTTTAATTTTAATAAAAACGTTCGGTTACTGAGATCATGAGTTTCTTAAAAGTTCGTCAAAATATAATAAGTTCGTCAAAACGAGTACGTCAAAAGTCATAGAAACATCATCAAAAGTCATCAAGTATCGTAAGCGGAAGCGTAAGTCGTAATCATAATTATACAGTCCAAAATATAAATATCCTGAAGATCCCGTCACGTCACGTCACCCTCCCGGCCCGACATCCTGACCTGAAAAACATAATAAAACTGGGGAGTGAGCACTAAGGCACTGTGCTCCGTGGAAACTCATACTAATGTAAAACATCGAAAATAATAACAACATCATGATATTAGTATATAACCTCAACCTCAAGCCGGTAAAACTGAAATTGTCACTCAAAAGTGACCCTGAAAACGTCATGCAAACATGACCTTGAAATCGTCACTCAAAAGTGACCCGACCGTTACCTCATCTGCCGGCAAAGCCGGACACCATGTGCACACTCTAGTGGGCAGACTAGGGCCACTACAACCCAGAATGGACCGGCGACCATTCCGAGCGGATGCCACAACAGAAATACATACCTCAAACATGGTACTGTAATTATAATCAGTG